AAACCGTTAAAAATAAGAAGAAGAAGGAAAAAAAAAAATTTAATCGAATTATATAAAAAAAAAAAATGTCCGAAAAATTCCAAAATAAATAAAAATTATGGTTTACCCTATAAAAACTATTTAATGACGACATAATGACGTTTATAATTTTTCTAAAAAAAATCGTGTGCTAAAGTTAAACAAATTTTTCTCATTTCGAATGTTTTTTAAAATTACTATTGTAGTAGTTAGTGAGTGGGTATTAATTTACCCCCCAAAAAAAAAAAAAAATTTTTTATCGTAATTTGATGTAAATCGTTCGAGGGTAACCCATTTAAAAAATTAAAATCGAATACTTAGATTTTGGGTCATTTGATATCGTACTGGAAATTTCTGGAAAGATAAGATATCATGTTTTTTTTTTTTTTAAATTCTACGTCGATGATACGACCAAGATAATTCCAGTTATATGAAAAAACGTTTAACACTTTTTTTGTTTTGTTTGAATGACGATTTAAGATGTTTTATTCCTCTTTACTCCTCCTTCCCCCCCCTCTCTCTCTCTCTCTCTCTCTTGTTCTCTTTCTTACTTCTTCCCTATCTTTTAATCTATTCCTTTCTACCTCTCTCTCTATCTCTTATTCTCTTACTTTTTTTCTTCCTCTCTCTCTCTCCCTCTCTTTCTCTTTGTTAATTTGCTTGTTAACATCATCAACATCATCATTATTATTATTTGTTATAATGCCTAACCTTTGCTAGCTCATAAATTATTACAAAAAAATTCAAATTTTTGTTACATAATAAACATGGTGTAAACAAACGTCGTCTGCTGCCACGACTACTCCATTGTCCGAAAACGACATGACAAATGTATTCGATCGATTTTGGGCATGGAATAATACGATTAAATATACAATTCGAAACGAAAAATAACAATAATAATAATAATAATTTTTTTCCATTACCTTTTTTGATTGTCTTTATTATTATCATCATCGTCTTTTCCAGATTTCAGTCCTTCTTCGTCCAAATAAGAAACCAAAGCCGACGGATTTATTTGAGTGTGATCGATTTTATTATTGTTGTTGTTGTTGTTTTTATTATTTTTATTATTATTATTATTATTATTAAATCTTTCGATTGTAGGATTAGAAAATGATCTTTCGCGATAGTATTTAGTCCGATTTAGCCAAGGTTCATCTACGTAACAACCAAGACCATTTACGTTATCTCCATTTATTGATTGTTTATTATTATTATTATATTGTGTGTGATAATCATTTGAATTCCAGTCGTTGTTATCATCATCGTTTTTCCAATCTTTTTTCCTATCTTTTTGACAAGCCGATAACGTTCTATTTATTTTTTTTTTACCATCTTTTTTTTCTTTAAAATTAGCCGATAGTGTTCTTCCGAGGGGCCTTTGAATTGTAACACTTTCACGATTTTGTCCAGTTCTGAAATCTTTTAACCATCTTCCAAAAACCGTTTTTGTTATTCCATTTTGTATCGGTTTTTCTTTCCAAGAATCTGCATTCCTATAAAAAAAAAAAAAAATGAAAAATAAAATCATTTGTTTGTTCAACAAAACCCCATTTTCATATACTAAATTTTTATAAAAAAAAAAATATTCGAAAACGAAACAAACAAACACATTTCCGGTTATATTCTTTTCCAGGTACCAAAAAAAAAAATTAACAATAATAATCTAACACATTACAACCTCGTCATATACTCAATCTCATTTGCAACAACAACAACCAAAAAAATGATAATTTTCGGACAGCCTATCTGCCGATACCTCTTTCTGCCCTCCCCAAAAAAAAAACGTTTTTTTTAACGGTTAATGCGTTTGAATTTTTTTTTTTGCGGAAATTCAATAAAATCGATTTTTTTTTATTTTTTGCGGTAAATAACTGCGTTTAATTAACCGCGTCAAATTAGTTCAAATAATAATAATAATAATAATAATAATAATAATAATAATAATAATAATAATAATAATAATAATAATAATAATGATAATAATAATAAATTTACGAAAATTCACACACTTTGCATTAGAGTACGTACGAATATATAGGCTCGTAGGGGGAAAGAAAAAAAATCGTTAAATTTTTTATCGTATCGTAATTCCGTCACGTTTTTTTTTTTTTTTTAATATAAGTGTATATATTATTATATAGTATAATTATCATTATCAGTTTTGATATAATATTAAATCGCAATTACGTAATAAAAATATATATATGAAGATTAATAAGTCTTAATAAATTCAAATTAACGTAAGGTTAAATTTATATATTTGTTATTTAATATGAGAAAATATGATTTATACTGAATTAAATATATATATGTATATTATCCGATCGTGCGTAAACGGGGGAGGAGCAAATGGGGAGAGGGTTGAAGTGGGGGGTAAAGGAAAATTATAATTATAAAGTATTACAAAACGCATTTTAGAAAGCACACATGGACACGCACAAGATACACGTTTATTTACTTATTTATTTAATTAATACGAACACGTTTTATTATTATTATTATTATTATTATTAATTAAACCGTTACAATTAATAAATACATGAAAGTTTTTTTTTATGTCCAACGACGACGATGATAATAATGATGATGTTTCTTTTCGACTTTACACGATATTTTTATGATACGTAATCGCTCGCGTTCGATAGATGTAGAGATTTTTAATTAATCGTTTTTCGATTTAATTATTAATTAATAATAATAACTTTAATACTCGAATTTGATATCGATAATCGTAATGATAATGATAATAATAATAATAATAATAATTCGTTATTAATTATTTAAAATTTTCGGTTACATTAATTTTTTTTTTATTTTATTTTTTATTTTCTTTTTTTTCTTACTTCGTCTTTATTATTATCATCATTTTTTTTTCGGATGTTGATTGTTACGTATCGAACTTTCTAAAAATAATGATGATGATGATGATAATAATAATAATAATAATCGAATCGTTTTTGTTTCACAGCATACGTAAGAAAAGAATGAAAGAATGAAAGAGAGAAAAAAAATTAATATTATTAAAGTAATATTAATGACGACACGTACACGAGTTTAAAATTACTTATTATTATTATTATTATTCTAAATGAAACGGTATCGATAACGATGATGATGATGATAATAATGATAATAATAATAATAATAATAATATAAAAATTTTTTAAAAATATTTTCTTTTTTTTTTTATTTAATAAAAATTTATTTAATATAAATTCGTTGATAAAAAAAAAATGCGTAGAATTTTTAGGGGTCGTGATAATAATAATAATAATAATGATAATGATGATAAATGTTACGTAATAAATTACCGTAATAATAAATAAATAAATAAATAAATATTGAAAGTCGCGAGCAAGAAATTTACATACGGTTGAAAAAAAAGTTTGTTTTTTTTTTTGTGGTTGTTGTTGTTTTTTCATAACTTGTCATAATAAACGACGACGTTTTTAAATTATTATTATTATTATCATTATCATTATTTACCACCTGCCGTCGATATTTTAATAAAATTTACTCCTCACCTTTTTTAAAAATAAAAAAACAAAAAAATTTTTTTTTTTTTAAACGTTACAGATTTTTGAATGGTTGACGTTAAAATCATCCTGCGGGGATTTTGGTATATTTAAAAAAAAAATTTATTATCATCATCATCATCATCATCATCAACATTGTCATCATCATCAACATTGTCATCATCATCGAGTTCATTCAAACAACGAAAAAATCTGTCGCCATTTTTTTTTCTTTCGAAATATCGCATAAAAAACGAAAAATAAATAAATAAAAATTTGTCGTTATATTTTTTTTTGTTAATCTCCTTCCACTTTGTTTTTTCTAAAATTCTTTTTCCACTTTGTTTGTTGTTTGTCAGTATCGTTATGTTTGTATTCAACAAAAAAAAAAAATTTGTTTTTAAATCAGATGAACTAAATTAAGAAGAAAGAGAAAAAGTTCGTGACCTTTATGGGTTTTTTTTCTTTTACGTGTCAGCTGAATAATTCTCCTTTTTATCCCCGTTTCTCTCATTCTTCCCTCTCCCCCCTCGGGAAAGGATTTCCCGGATGTAAAGATGATGGACACATTTGAACACTTTATTCGATGTTTCGTTATCAAAACGTGTATATATAAAAATCTATGATTTAATCTATTATGTTAAAAATTATTATTCGGCACGATGGAACGTTAATAATCGTTGATGACACGTTTTCTTTTTTTTTTCGGCACGCGACGTTGTTACGAATTCATAATAATAATAATACTAATACTAATAATAATAATAATAATAATAATAAATTATCAAAAGGTAAAAAAAAAATCAAGGCGTAAAATTAAAAAAAAAAAAATTTTTTTATTATCCGAAATCGATCCGAGCATGAAAAAAAAAAATTTGCGAAATAAAAAAAAAAATACCATCAGGTACTCGGTGATGACGATGATGATGATGATGATGATGATAAACCAAGTAAGTAAAGAAAAAATCAAATACAGGTATATTAATAAAGATAATGATTATGTCAAGAAACTTCATTTTCCATAACCTTAACAAGGACACAACACAGAGAGAGAGAGACAAAAAAAAATCGTTTCTATAACCACGTTTAACTTCAATGTAAAATAATTACAAACCGTATCCTATTCAATTTATACGTTTAATTCTCGTATACAGGGGCGTAGTCATGTTTTTAAACTCATATACCGATCATACGATTTCTATTAAACCGGAAACTAATCAACATCCGTCGATTCGAAAGGATATATTCAAACCTTTCGTTGGTTTTCTCTCTCTCTCTCTCGGAATCGAATATCGATAAAAAATCGATCGAAATGGTTTATAATAAAAAAAAAATATCTAATCTTTCTTACTCGTCAGGATTTGTATCTATTAAACAGAGAGTGAGTGAGTGAGAGAGAGAGAAAATAAGGCACGTGTGCCCTCCTTTCGGACAACAGTTCTTCGTGTCTCATCATTTACTTTTTTCTTTTTTTTTTTTCTTATTCATATTATTATATATATATATATTTAAAATAATGATATCGTGTTAAAAATAATAATAATAATAATTGACGTCAAAGTTGATGAACACGTTACGAATTATATATATATCGATCGTAAAAAATTTAAATTGATGACGTCAACATGAGTGGTAAAATGATGGAAAAATTTAAATGAAAAAAACGTGGAATTGATTGTTTGTACACGTGTATATGGACTCACAACAAGCACGTGTTGTTTGTTTTTATAGTTACAAAACGAAAAAATTCAAATTCAAATGCAAACTTTCTATTTCACCCCAAGATGATGATGATGATACCTCTTGCCTCTGGGTAAATAATCATAACCTAGTTTGTAATAGAAGAAAAAAACCTTAGTAGTACCTGTACAAAAAGGTTTACCATCAGAAACGTTGTGTGTATGTGATATATAGTTTGTTTTGTTCGAAAAAAGAAAGTTTTTTTAAAATGTCTTTTACGACCATCTTATATATAAATAATAATAATAATAATAATATATCGATCGGTTGTTGTTTTTTTTAATCGATTTTAATAAAAATCAATAAATCAATAGTTTTAATTAATTAATAAATTATTAAAATTTTTTTTTGGAAAGTCGTAGGTAGAAAAAAATGTTAAATCAGTTTTTTTGGTGACAAATCGTCTAAAACCACGATTTTTTATTTTTTATTGGTACAAGAAGAAGACAAAAACTTGAGGAATCCGAATTGAAAATTTAAAAAAAAAAAAAAAAAAGAATTGTTAATGATAACGATGATAATAATAATTACGAGAGGTAAATTAGCGATGAAAAATTTAATGATGATGATGATGAAAAGTTTTCGTGGCACCAACCGTTTGTTCGTCGAAGTGTGGAGGTTAAGAAGAAGAAGAAGAAACCGGATCCATTTTTGGGTAAATTAATTAATGGCTCACTTGTTCTTTTTTTTCGAACATTTTCGTCTCGACAAACTGGATCGTTTTTTAAAAAACTTTTCAAAATGATGATGATGAAACGGTGGTGCCAACATATGAAATTTTCTTCAACTCTCTCTTTGTCTCTCTTGTGACATGCGTTTGTCCTTCGTTTTACCAAAAAAAAAAAATTTACTTGATTAAAAATCACATGGAAAATTTTCCAGTGATGCTATTATGGAATAAAAAAAAAAATTTTGGTTTCGTTCGTCTGCCTGGAAAATGAACAAGCATCCAATCGAGTATTATTATTATTATTTTTTTTTTCCAGAGAATGAATTCCATAATAATTGCCACTCATTCCGCGTGAGATACTCATTTTTTAATTTTGGCATTTTTTTTTTTTTTTTTATTTCTTTTGTGCGACTCGAATAAGAATTAACACAAAAGAAGAAGAAGGAAAAACCCTCCACGTTTAGTTTTTTTTTTCTATTGACACGCGCACGAACGCATGAACGAACAAACATACGCACACAAACACAAACTCTTAATAACAAAAAAAAAAATTTTGATTCGACGTTTGAATTCTTTTTTTTTTTTGTTTTGTTTGTCTTTCTT